AGAAAAAAATAAAAGAAAGCAAGGATTAACACTTTTTCTAAATTTCTAAACGTGCGGTACCATGTATGGTAACTCAAAAGATTTTCTCTTAGGATCCGATCGTTAGCGCAAAACGATATTATGCGTATGCAAGAAGAAGAGAAGCCACACTGCGTACTACGCAGGCGTCCTTGAGCGTAAGCGATCTGTTTACGAGATGGTCATCGACCTCGTTGGTACACACATCGTTAGAGCAGAGACCTCCTCGGCAATATATATGTGTATATATATATATATATGTATGTATTTATGTATGTATGTACGTGTTTGTGTGCATGTATGCGTATATATATATATCTATTGAAGAGAAAGAATGGGAAAGAGATAGCGATAAATGGAAGAGATCCTTGTATATATACATATAGACAAATATGTGTTTACATATATATGTATATATATGTATATATATATCTGTATAAATATATATACATACACACACACACACACACACATATATATATATATATACATCAGCTATACTCTCCCATCGAGGGAATTAAATAAAATCTGATAGAGTTCGCCATTACTGCGGCTCTTTTAACTGCCCTTAACGAACGACTTTGGAGCTAATGATTCTTTAATTCAATTAACAATCTACGATAACACAGCTGTGTACACATATACATACATTCTCATATTTCTTTTTATTTTATTTTAGTTTTTTTTTTTTTTTGTTCTTTTGTCTTTTTCGTTCATCATTTTTATTTACTTAACAATTAACATATTGTCTGGTCGGTCACAAATATGCTAGTATTTGCAAGTGTGAAATTTTTTTTGTAGAAGGAGGAATCTTTTCTATTTTAATTTTATCCCGTTTTATTTTGTGCTTTTAATTTTTACATACGGAATTCATTGCATATTTTCATAACTCATACCTGAATGTATGTGTACGGAAATATTAGATCTAACAAGTGATATCCTTTTCAATTTTCTGTACTTAAAGCCTAGATACCATATACTCAATTTTTGTACCATTATTTTTTATAGGTATTCTCGACCAGTCCTGAATAAATTATTGAAAGCATTTATTGGTCTATTATATTTCAAGAAACGTTTACTAAATGTTGAAGAAAGGAGGCTGTATCCCCATAAGGAATATATATATATATATATATATATTGAAGATAGATACGTGCATATACACCAAGAAGAAGAATCTCTGCAAATATCATAGGCATGACTTGGATATTTATTGTATATACTCGTACATATACGTATATTTAATCAAAGCGATAAGACTTAATTTCATACGTGTGTGGGTAGTCATTATCACATTCTTGCTTATCGACTTAGCACAAGAGGTTGATTACTCTATTTCGTTGTATAGATTACTTCCCGCCAAAATCTAATCGCGAATGAGAGTGAGTGAATGAGATAGAGATAGACAGAGATAAAAAAATAGAGAAGGAGTATTGGGACGTAAATAACACCAGAAGAAACCAAAGAAACCGTAATGATGGTAAATTTGAATATTCGCTTCGTTTCTTTTATCGCTAATTTCACTGATATTATTCACTACGAAATATTATGATGAAAAAGAGAGAGAAAGAGAAAGAGAGAGAGAGAGAGAGAGAGAGACAGAGTTACACAGTCTTATTATGAATTGGCCAACTGTTGTTTTATCATTTGACATTAATTAAGCTCTTCGATTGAGAGAAATAATGATAGTATTTGTATCGATAAGGAGACACGCACATGAGGAATAAAATTCACGAAGTTTTTCAAACTTGTTCTCCAGTATCCAAAAACATACGTCCACGGCAACGAGAATATAAAAGAATAAAACGGTTACTTGGAATTTTTCCGAATGGAAATTTATCTTTTTAGAAGGCAGGACTAACTTTATAGAGGGGCGTGGATAATTTGAATGAGGCAGGGCTAACTTTGTAGGGGGTGGGTCTAATCAGAGAAAGCACACGTTAACTTTAAAGGGAGCCTAACTTCGGTGGTGGCGGTGTTAATTAGACAGGGAACATGGCTAACTTTAGTGTGGGCGTGGTTAACTTTGACGATGGGCGGATCTAACTTTGTTGGGGGCGGTACTAACTAGAGAGAGGGCGGGGTTATCTAAAGAATTTCATGTGCCCTCGATGTATTCGATAATACGCTCGACTATAATCATTATTATGGTTAATACCATTACACTGTGCTTACAATATCTTAAAAAGTTCATAAAGCATATTTTCGTTATTATATAGAAATAATTATTTTGTTCTCTAATTGATCGTTCGTTTTTATTAAAAGAAAAAGAGAGAGAGAGAGAGAGAGTGAGAGAGAGAGAGAGAGTGAGAGAGGGAAAGAAAGTTCTCATGTTCCTGTTTTAATATGCATAACTGATGATTATTATAGTCTTGCTAACGTCAATTCGTATACTCGTCAAAGAACTTTTATTTTTTATCATTATTATTATTATTATCATTTTTCATCTTTTTATATAATTCCTTTGGCCAACAAAGATTGACATAAATTGTTATCCTGTTGGTTCATTTTAAAACTGGTTGATATATAATTATATATATTATATACGAAGATATTGTATGTATATATTATATATATACATATATGCAAGTGTATAAGTGTCATACAAAATAGTAAACGACCGGCTTGGTGAAGATACGCGGACGACTTTCACCGTCTATATCACGCCTGGATTTTTGTTGATTTAAATGTGGGGCTCTGAGACACGCTCTTGGTTATATCAGTAGCAGTATCTTTGAGAAAGGACAGAGACAGAGACAGGGAGAAAAGAAGAACGACAAAAGGAAATATTTTGTAATTAAAATAATTCATGACAAAAGTCGTACGAGTACAAACAAATTGCATAATATTAAGATAATATCATAATATGAACAAGTGTTTTTATGACTCCAAAAAAAAGGAAAAAAAAAAAAAAAAAAAAAAGAAAAAAAAAGTAAGAAATGAAATGAAACGAGGGATGTAAAAAGGCAAAGAACAATGTTCTCCTGAAAAATATAAAGAAAAGAAATGAGTGATCATTTAAATATATAACGAAAACGAATTGTACAATATGAAGGATCAAAAAAAGCCTGTAAAGATAGCGAGAGGAGAAAAATACAAAAAAGAAAGAAAGAAAAAAAAAAAAAGGTAAAAAAGAAAAGAAATAAAAAGAAAAAAGTTTGAGGGCAAAGAGAAGAAGATAGCTTTCTCACGATGAGAGAACGCCAACGAAATTATTATTATCGGCAGGTACAACAATACATCTGGACAAAGAGGCCTTCTTGAAAATGAAGGGAAAAAGAAAAGAAAAGAAAAGAAAAGAAGACAGAAAGAAGGATATTGATGGTTCAGAAATCTGTAGTAATAAAAATAAAGACAAAAGGATAGTAAGGGCATGAGAAAGAAAACGAATGGAGTAAGTACTTTTCCTCGTCGGTTTTACGTACTCCAAGTTGGCCTTTATTAACGTCAGAGAGAAAGAGATAGATAGAATGAAATTGTGTATATGTGTGTGTGTGTGTTTGTGTGTTGGGTGAAAGAGAGAGAGAGAGAGAGATTGGCCAGTTTAAAGCTATAGGTACACGTTGAAATCTCAAGACTGTTCTTCTTCTTCTTGCGCGAATGTTGCTGCTGGTGTTTCTTCTTCATGTCAGGGCATGCTCATTGGTCAATTGTAGTTTCTTCTTCCGAGAGTTGCGCGAGGTTAGGAGATTGCATTCCACGAAGTAATTTCGGTCCAAGGCCCCTCTTTCTCTCTTTTTCTTTCTTTATCTCTCTCTCTCTCTCTCTCTCTCTTTATCTCTTTGTGTCTTCTTTCGATTCGCCTCGCTAGTCACCGGATCGTTCTTTTCTCTACTTGCTCTCTGTTACACTTGCTCTCTTTCTTTATATCGCTTTGACTTCTTTTTTTCTTCTTCTTCTTATTATTCTTCTTCTTATTCTTCTTTTTTTTTGACTTTTCTTTTTGCTTTTGGTCTTCTTTTTCTTCTCTTCCTCCTTCTTCCTCGTCTTTTTTTTTCTTTTTTTTTTTGTCTTTCGACTTACGAAAATGATTGATCGTAAAGGTTCCACCCTGGAGCGAGGCAAAATCTTTTACAGAGTTATGACTGTAGATGAAAAAAAGTCAGTTGTTCGTTTTTACTTGGTTATGATTGTTTTATGGTGAATGTTACTTTTAAGGTAAACGTATTTCTCTCTCTCTCTCTCTCTCTCTCTATATATATATATATATATATATATATATATATATATATTTATATTAATTATTTTTATTAATATATATATATATATTAATTATATAGTAAATTATTGCATTAATAATATATTATTATTTGCTACTAACAATGCTAATAATATATCTATATGTTATTTATTTCTTTCTATATTTATTATATTAATAATAATAATTATTATATATATATAAAATGTTAATGAAGAATAATCCTTAAATTATTATAACTATATATTCCAGATGAAACTGTTATAGCTACTGTCATATGATTCCACCATGGGAATTTAGAAACCGGATCGAGCAAAGCAACCTAGTCTCTCACATAGCAACAAGGAAACCTCTTAAAGAATTTCCATCATGGTTTCTCTATGTCCGAGTCCGTAATTCTATGTAGAGTTCAGTTGAGTTGGGAAAAGTTATGTCCTCGTTCTATAGTTCAACATTATATGTCGTTATAGACCACCGCCAAGAATATTTTCCTGTATATCTATTTCTTCCTCTTACAAACGATTTTAAATTATATTTATCAAATTCAAAGTAATAGAAATATATCATTACTACAATATTATTATATGTTACGTTTTAGTTGAATTATTTTGTCGAATTATACCGAAGAAATGATAGAACGATATTTATAATTAATTGGAAAAGAAAATTCATTTAATACGAAATCGTATTAGAATTTTAAAATTTTTTAAAGAATTAATTTTAACGAATTAATTACAACTTCTTCCCTTTCGACATATTTATTTTATTTCTTTTTCAGATCGCACGCCAAATTTCTAGACTTCTATGGTTTTATGATACAAGACAGATTGAAGAAAGAAGAAAAGAAAGAAAAGAAAAAAAAGAAAACAAAAATTAGCCTAAAATATCACGTAAAAGAAGATGGAATGAGTTTGAAGAAAACAAAAAAAAAAAAAGAAAAAGAAAAAGAAAAGGAAAAAAAATATCCGGTAACTTTTGACCCCCGTCAAAGTATAATGATCTCATGATAGTTCTTTTTTGTTCTCTTTTTAAATATTTTCTTTTTTTTTTTTTCTTCTTCTTCTTTTTTTTTTTTACAAATTTCAGGAAAGAAGTTCAATTCAAATTAGTCAAGGAGAGTTGATCAGTTAGTTTAATATATTTCTTTGGGACTTGGTCATTTGTGCTTTCTTCCTGGCTAAGTGAAAGAAAAAGAAAGAAAGAAAGAAAGAAAGAAAGAAAGAAAGAAAGACATTTTGGTATGGACAAAACATTATCAGTCGTTGTCGTCGTCGCCATCATCTAAGGCAGTTTGTGTGACGGTACCTCGATGAAAAACTTTCCTTCTGAGTTCTGAGGCCTGCTATCCTCAGTTAAGGTCAATGACCGAAAAATGACCTGCATCTCTTCGGGTAACTCCCCTCTACTTCTACTTCTTCATCATTCTTCGTCTTCTTGAACTACGATGTTGCTAGCACGAAACATGCATCTTCTAATGGATCTTAAACCCTTAAACGGCGAAACAAAGGATTCCTTTTTCCATGGAATTCCATGAAAATGATCTTAGAGGTTTATAAACGCCTTCTTGGAATATTATTTTGAAGAAGCATGTGGCTCATCGTTTAATTTAATAGAACTACGTTAAGCACGATCGTAGTAGGATCAAAGTTAACTATGTGATACTGTTAATTTATTAAAGTTGCTTGTTAAGAATTTTTTCTTTTTTCTCTTTTTTTTTTTTTTTTTTTTTTTTTCAACAATAGAAATTAATTTTCGAAAGAGTACCATTTTGTCTATTAATTTAACAGATAAATTTAGCACAATTCTAGCCTTGATATATTTGATTATATGATATATCAAGACTCTTGTTAATTATTACAAATTACATTTGTCCGATAAGAATTAATTTCGACGAGACAGGTAAAGTTCATAGTTCAATTCAATATAACTTTTTAATTTGGCCAATTTAGTTACAAAATTAAGAAGTATATAATTAATTATGTCCTATGAAGAAAATATCTCTTGTTAGATTACAAATGAACGATTCTTTATTTCTTGTTTTTTTTTTTTTTTTTTTATTCTTTTCTTTTTAAAAGAGAAAGAGAGAGAATGATGAATAATAGTTATAGAACAGAATAATGCTAACATTTAACAAGTTCACACTTAATAATACAAATGACCAATCTTATGTACAGGTAATGAACTATCTGAAGAAAGAAAGAAAAAAAAAAAAAAAGAAAAAAAGAAAAGAAAAAAAATAGAAAAAGAAAAAGAAAAAAAAGGAAGAAGTAGTTTTTCAAGGCTTTCATCATCTACCTAATCCTTTTAAGGACACAAAAAGAGAGAGAGGAAATATATCGTGTGAAAAGAGAAGAGTGAAAAAGAGAAGGGAAGAGAGAAAGATAGAAGATAGAAAGGGATAAGACGATATCAAAGAAAAGATGGCCTAGAGAAAGAGAGACATGAGGTGAGGAATAAGAAACTGTAATTGCTTGGCAATGACTTTGCTGGAGAAATTGCCTCAGCGTCGCGTGGAAACGTTGGTTAAAGTAGCGTGGAACATCTCTCTCTCTCTCTCTCTCTTTCTTCCTCTCTCTCTTTCTGTCTGAGAAAAAATATAAATCCAAAAAGAGAAAATGCTCCAGTACAAAGTACTGGAACTCGCAGAAGAAATTGTGGAACCGAGCTTTGCGAACGAATATTCGTGCGATTAAGAAAAAGAGAGGAAAAAGAATGGTAGTACATATATATATATCTATATATATATCTATATATATATATATATAGGTGCAATCTCGTGCTCAACATGTGTCCTGTACTTTGCTCTTTATTACCTGTAAATGGTTCTTCGCCATCTCGAAGAGAAAGGGACACGGTCCCTTTCAAGTCGACAACGGGCTTGACAATTTTTAACGCCCAATTGACACATTTATTTTCTTATTTCTTTTATCTTCCTTTTCATTTTATTTTTTCATTATGGATTTTGTTATCGGTTAGGTAAAATATTAATTGAAATTTTTATCATACAAGATATTTCAAAATTCAAATAGTCGTATATTTTTCAATAACAAACATTGAGAGAATTTATTGAATTAATTTTGAGAACTTGAAAAATTTTTACATTATTAAAAAAAAAAAAAAAAAAAATTGAAAATATTTGATAATTATCGAATATGATAACGAAAAAATTATAAAACAAATATTATAGAAGATTTTTAACGTTTATTATATTTGTCAAATTAATCGATAATAACGTTTACCTTTACAAATTAATTTAATCGTGTCAATATATTTATATATGCAATTTTTGAGTTATAATTAAAAGGCACATTAATGTTTAATAATTTTCAATAGCTTAGTCTCATTCCAATGAGACTTTTTAAATGTTATGGTTCCAATTAATTTCATTATTATGTTATAATTAAAATTTGCAAACAAATCTTGAACGTACATAGGTATATACAATTCATACATAAATAAGATCAATGGTGAGAAGAAAAGACAAAAGGAGAAGAGGTAGAAAAGAGTTATGAGCACAATCTTGTATGGTAGTCATGAATCATGGAAAACCATATATCGTAATAAAGGAATCTGTCTCTTTCTCTCTCTCTATTTCTTTTTCTCTCTATCTCTATCTCTCTCCTTTTCTTTTATAACGGTGTGAGAGAGGAACTTTCCGGTTTATTAGCGCAATTATAAGTCTTACGTTCATGGTCACGACTCTGATTGTGAATTACGATCTTCGAATGAGAATTACGATCATCGTTAGATCATCTATGATATTCGAAAATTATCGATCATCATACAAAAATCCATATAAACGTAACAGTACTATCTCACGACATAATTGTTCTTATAATGAATTCATATGAACATTTGAGTTGGTAAATATGAACTTGTTATAATCGTGTATTTATAATAATCACTATAATTAAGATCATTAACATTGATATTTTTCTTTATCTTTTGCAGATTAAATAAATGGATTGATGATAAAATTTTGGAAGACCGACAGAGAGACAGAGAGACAGAGAGAAGAGGAAAAGAAAGAGAGATCTAAAGAACTAAAGAACAAAAAGGAAGAAGAAGAAGAAGAAGAAGAAGAAGAAAAAGGATAGAGTGAGGGTTACGAAAATTTCGAAGAGGACGACTTGATAATGCATCAGAACTCGTTGCACCTGTGGAGAGTACATACTGATTCGGGCTAACTCCTCTCTTGCGCTTACTTTCTTAGCGTATGCATTAAACGCACGTACATCAGCCTGGGGCCCCAACAGCTTCTCTCTCTTTCTCTCTCTCTCTCTCTCTCTCTCTCTCTCTCTCTCTTTCTCTTCGGTTAGGTTGGTGCTCGGACTTGCTTGCACCGGCAATCACGATAATCGTGAAGTTTATCGAGAAGAAGCTTGGCTGTGATTAACGAGGATCGCTTTAAATCTTCTGAGGAAAGGAAGACTACGTGATATGGTTGTGATGGTATTGATGGTGTTTGTGGTGGTTACTAGTGGATAGCGTTGTTTTCATTGAAATACATGCCATCATTCTTTCTCTCTCTCTCTCTCTCTCTCTCTTCCATTCTCTGTCTTTCTTTTTATCCACTGTCTCTTTTATAAACCCATGAAATTACAAATGAATATTCTTTACAACTTTTGTCAATGTCAACAAAAAGAAAGAGAGAAACAATGAAAGAGAGATAGAGAGAGAGAGAGAGAGAGAGAGAGAGAGAGAACCGTAGAAACAGATTCTAAGCGTTTCAATTTCAACGTTTAACATCAATTCCAAGGGAAATTAAATTGATTGACTTCAATTGAAGTTTAATTGAATGCCAGCGGGAGATAAATTTCATTGAAAATTGCGACTGCAATTAAGTTTTCTACTTCTAATCTATCACGTCTACCTTTTTTATTTTCTCTTATGGAAATAAATGAGAAATGACAAATAATCAATTATGCATCGAAACGATGAGAACAATAAATAATGTCGCAATAATTTTTCAATGATCGTCAATATTCTTAATGACGCGTCATTGATTTATTTTACGTGTTAAACGTAAAGAGAAAAAATGTTTGTCGATTGTCAATTGGATCATGTGAAATACAAAAACAAAAGGAAAAAAAAAGAGAAAATAATAATAAAAGGGAAAAGAAAAGGAAACGAAAAGGTGATAAAAAGAATCCACATTTCCGTGTAAAATATCAAGTCGCAATTTTCACCGAAACGCACCGATATTAAACGTAACTCGTAGTGATTATTTATTCGCGCAAATGATCATTTATTTATGCATTTATTATAAAGTATAGAAAAAAAAAAAAAAAAAAAAGAAAAAATAAAAAAGGAAAAAAATTATCGCCACGATCAATTAAATCAAATCTCCAAGGAATAATGATATTGATGATAATGATGAAAAAAAAAAAAAACAATTAGAAAAAAAAAGAAAGAAAAAAAGAAAGAAAGAAAGAAAGAAAGAAAAACAACATATCGTTTTACTATAAACTATGAGGAAACGTTTAGAAATCTGTGACGTTAGAGTGCAATTGAATTGCTTTTGTTAAAATCGTCGAAATTGCATCTTTGGCCGTTGCTGCATCATCGACGGACGATCCGGACGACCGTGAAAACGCTGACGCAGCTGCGGCCGATCTTACCGCGGGCTTCGATCTCGATCCGCCCTCGGCAAGAGGCTCGACCTGCATCGCCATTTTTAGTCACGATCGAAAGAGAGAGAGAGAGAGAGAGAGATAGAAAAAGACAGAGAGAAGAGACCTCTCGTCCTTTCCCTTCTCTTCTTCTTCTTCTTCTTCTTCTTCTTTATCTTCTTCTTCTCCTTCTTCTTCTTCGTCCTCCTCCTCCTCCTCCTACTCCTCCTCCTCCTCCTCCTACTCCTCCTCCTCCTCTTTGTACGGACGCTACTTCTGCAGCCAAGGCCATTTTAATAGCGCAGCGCATTTATCATTTGGGCGAAAACAACGTCGATCGAGGCTAGCGATAGGAACGAATTGCCATGTCGATTCAACCGCTAACTTAATTCAGAAAGTAACAGCAAGGTAGTTGTGTTGCCACTAAAGTCCGTCGTTGCCATTATCGTCGAGAAACGACGATAAACTCTCTCTTTCTATGTAATTTTCCTTTAGGGAACTCGACGAGGCAGTTTCCTACGTTATCGGCCATACGTCATTTCTTATTTATTTACATGTTTGAAATTTGTCGATGATTAATTTCTATATTTTTCTAATCTCTCGTAGAATTTAATAAACACATACATACACACACACACACACACACACACACATACACACATATATATATATATTCGTATGTGTATAAAAATACATATTTTTTTTCTATGTATTAAAAAGTGATCAGTTTTTATCAATTGAAAAAGAAAAAAAAAAAAAAGAGAAGATGATAAAAAAATCGAAAGTTTCGACGATTAATTTTGTATACAAATGTCATAATTGTACACACACACACACACACATATATATATATATATGTATATATATATATCTATATGTATCAGTTATATATTCGTTTATTATGTAATATTTAATGTGATATAGCGTGTGAGATTAGTGATTTTAAGTAAAGAGAAGAAACGAATTTATAATTAGGCGAGGAAGAGGAAACTCGGCGTGTCGCGTGACACGAAAAAGTCGATGCCCCCATGGTTGTTGCTCGGCCAAGCCGGAGGCTTGGAGCGTGGCTAGATTCACCCAGAGATCGTTGCTATCGCGGCGTCGTCTCGTTATCCGACACCGCGAGTACACAAGCCGGGGCACCGACTTCTAGCTTTACCTTCGTCGACGACACTGTTGCTAAGGGAATCCGATTACGTCTCTCATTCTCGCAATTAAAATCGATCTAATCTACTAGCTTATAACCATTTCCGATTAACATTTCTATTTCATTCCATATTATATATATATATATATATATATATGTACATACATACGTGTATATATATATATATAGATTTGTTTTTTTTTTCGTTTTTTTGTTTAGTTTTAGTTCTTTTTTTTTCTTTTTGTTTCTTTTTGTTTTTTTTTGTTTTGTTTTTTTCTTCTTCCTTTAGAAATATACGCTCTAATTAGTAAGGAGTAAATTTTTGTTGTAATTAATCATCTTCTCTTTTTTCTTTTTCTTTTTTTCCTTCTTTTTTCTTGTTGTTTCGTTTCGTTTCGTTTTATTTTATTCTTCGTGAAAGACTCACGGTTGTTTCTGTTTGTTTTTTCTTATTTTTTTTCTTCCTTCCTTCCTTCCTTTTTTTTTTCTTTTTTTTTTTTTAATAGGTTTATTTGGAATCGTTAGGCTTAACGAATATTTTATTTTATATACGTTCTGAATGAAGGTATATATATATATATATATATAGGTTTTATTTGATATTCGATTGAATCTATATTATAAACGTGTCGGTCTGCGAATACATTTGGAATTTTTCTCGATTATACTTGAAAAGAAATTTATAATGTCAATTCGTGAAAATTAAATAACACAAATAAAAATTTGATTATTGAATTATTCTAACTATTGATCGAATAGATTGATAAACATAATAAATTGAACGTCGATTTTAAGTCGAACGAAAGAACAAATTGATATAGATTTGATTTAAATTTGAAAAAAAGAAACAAAAAACATTTCTAGCAAATAATTATCCTAAATATTGTTTTAGAATTACCGACCACCCCTCCCCCCGCTTCTCCACTCCCTCGTCTTTCTCACCAGATGCCATAATCCCAGTCCCCCAAAAAGAAAAAAAAATAATTAAAAAAAAAAGCTACGACGAATCTTTAAATAATCAATTGATAATTTTTACAGGCAAGAATCAAAGAGAGAGAGAGAGAGAAAGAGAAGGAAGGAGAAGGAAATAGAAGAAAAAAAGGAATAAGAAGAAGAAGAAGAAGAAGAAGAAGAAGAAGAAGACAACAACGTTTGGCATTGATTTATATGACAACAACCAAGTGGATCCACATACAATAATCGACTTATTCGACTCACGCGTGGCGGAATCAATCGACGGTGATGGCGTGTGGACTAAATTGATTTTCTCGTTCCATGTTGAAAGCGTCCTCTTCTCTTTTGGTCCAATATTACCACCAGACAGCAGTCAGAGCCAGCAACCAATGTGTTCTTTCTCTCTCTCTCTCTCTCTCTCTCTCTCTCTCTCTCTCTCTCTCCCCCTGTCTTTGTCTCTTTCTGTCTCTTTTTCTCTCTCTTCTTTCACCTCATCGTACGGCTTTCGACTAGAGTGCAGAAAAAAGAAGGACAAAGAGAAGAAGAAGGAGAAGAAGGAGAATATGACGACGGTGAAAAGAAAGAAAGAAAGAAAGAAAGAAAGAAATAGAAAGAGAGAAAAAGAAAAAGAGAGAAAGAGAGAGAGAGAGGGTGGACATATGAAGAAAAAAAAAAAGAAAAAAAGAAAGAAAGAAGTAAAAGAAGAAGAAGTAGAAGAAGAAGAAGAAGGAGAAGAAGAAGAAGAAGAAGAAGAAGACGTCGAGAGAGAGAACTGGCGAGAATGAAGAAGTCGGTAGAAGGAGGAGTAGGAGTAAGAGGAGGAGGAGGAAAGGGGGAGGGGAAGGAACGTGATGGCGATGGACGAAGAAGAAGAAGAAGTCGAAGAAGAAGGTGCAGAGCCACGCCGTAGGAATATTAAAGCTAACTCTCGCGTTCGCACTCCACCTTCTCTCTCTCTCTCTCTCTCTCTCTCTTTTCTTCTCTTCTCTTTTCTCTTCTTTCTTCTCTCTGGTCTGTTGGCTCGCTTGTTTTCTTTCGTCTTCTTTCGCCTCCTTTATTTTGTCAGCTCTTGCGTCCGACCATTTCAGTCTCCTTTCTTCTTCTTCTTCTTCTTCTTCTTCTACTTCTTCTTCT